TGAGTCAAACTAGAAAATGAGATATGCAAGAGGCCGATCTTTGATCGGGCGAGCGGGGGTGCTCACGAAGTGACCTTCCCCAATCGTACCCAAGTTCCCGAGCCGAGGCAACTTTGGTGATGATGGACACGTGGCCTTAGGCAACGAGTCAGGGTTTCCTAAATTTTCCAAAATAAAATATTTAGGTGGCGACTCTGTATCTGGCAAAGTAGTCCATGTTTGGCACTTCTTTCAAAATCTGTTTTCTCAAAACGATTTGCCGGATTTGGACTCTTCGGTTCAGATTACGAACGTGACAATTTGAGAGTCCTGAGCTGTAGTGACCCCAAATGAACGGAACGGGAGCTCGTCTCTCCCGGGGCGTTCGGGGACGTCTACACTTGTCTTTCATGGGAAAATTCTCACTAACAAAATGAGAAACCAGAGGGGTATTACTTCTGATCCCAATTGCCCTTACTGTGCTAATGTAGAAGATCTTGAACATTTGCTTTGGTTTTGTCCCAAAGCTACCCAGATATGGTGCCATGTTTATAGTAAGGAGTGGTACTGCAGTAGGTTCTCGTTACCTTGGAAAGATTGGCTCATCTAAAATATGAAAGGGAAGAACCATAATTCTTATTTGTTCCTCATCTCCCTTTGGACTATTTGGAAAAATCGAAATAAGATGGTTTTTGAATCTAAAACTACTAATATCCACGAGAGTGTTAAACTCATAACAGATTATGCCAAGGATATCTTTCAAGCTTTTAGTTTGGATGCTACTCAACCACTTCAAGCTAAAAGTCTTTCTGTGTGGTCTTGTCCAAATGCAGGTAAAATCAAACTTAACACGGATGGTAGCACTCGCAGGCATGGAGGAGGTGGAGGTTTTGGTGGTTTATTTCAGGATGAATCCGGAGCATAGATTAGTGGATACTATGGAAGACTTGAAATATGTACTTGTCTAGAAGTGGAACTTTGGGCAGTCTACAAGGGGCTGACTATAATACTTCAACGAGGATTCAATGAAGTGATTATAGAAACTGATGTGGAACAAGTGGTGAAATTATTGAGTGAGGATCTGGGAGAAAAATGTCCTTTTCGGGGCATTGTGGAAGATGCGCGCATTATCATGAGAGGATGTGACTGCTCCATCCAACACATTCGAAGGGAAACTAATATTTGTGCGGATGCAATGGCCAAGTTAGGTGACTATCAACCGGCAGACTTGCTTATTGTAAATGAACCCCCTGCAGAACTCCGCCCATTACTTGTTGCGGATATTGTTCATCTCTCCCAGGAGGGTGGTAGGATGTAGTCCTTCTTTGTTTTATTTCTGATGTACCCAAAAAAAAAAAAAAAAATCTCACACGCAAAAAAAAGCCAAAACATCATGGTAGCTGGGACCCACCGCCCCTAAAGTTCCATTAGAACTCTTATTTTAGAGTTCTAAAACATTTTTGATTTGTTATTTTAATTGTCGTTTTATGTACATTTAATATTAGTATATCACCCGTGCTATGTACGGGATAAAATAATATATTATTTATTAAAAATATGATAATTATATGTAATTTTTTATATTTTGTCTCTCGTAAATAAAATTTCATATATAAGTTTAAGAGTTTTTTTTCAAATGTTTAATTTACTATCACTACAAGAATTAACACTTTTGGCAACAAAAAAATCGGTCGCTAAAAGTCAATTTTTGGTCGGCAAAAGTTATCCGCGACCAATTTTTTTGGTCGCTACTTTGGTCGCCAATTGAGGGTCGGCAAAAGTAATTCGCGACCAAAATTGTGGTTGGTCGGCAAAAGTTGGATTTTGCGACTAAATTTTTGGTCGCTAAATATTTAATTACCGCGACTAATTTATTTTGTCGCCAAAACACTTTGGTCGCGAAAAGTGATATTTTCCCGACCAAAAAGTTTGGTCGCCAATTATCACATTCAACGACCAAAAAGTTTGGTCGCCAATTGTGACATTCCGCGACCAAAAATTTTGGTCGCCAATCGTGACATTCCGCGACCAAAAAATTTTGGTCGCCAATCGTGACATTCCGCGACCAAAAAGTTTGGTCGTCAATTGTGACATTCCAGGACCAAAAAAGGTTTTGGTCGCCATTTGTTACTTTTTGCGACCAAAACTTTTGGTCGGCAAAAGTGAGTTTCCACGACCAAGAACTGCTTTGGTCGGCAATAGATGTATTTTTTGCGACCAAAACTCTTGGTCGGCAATTGTCATTTTTTGCGAAAAAAAATAATTTATTTGTCGCGACTAATAAATTAGTCGCCAAAGCAGGAAAACAATACACCTGTAATTCCTAATAATTCATTCAATCCATAATAAACCTATAATTTTAAAGCATCCTTCAAATTAACTGAATCATTAACATTCGACACAATACATAATTCATTAACATTCGACACAATACAACTATTCTAAGTTTTCATTCACAAGTCACATCTATCTAGCATATCAAATTGAAACAATACATAATTCAAATTTACAGCATCAGGAAAATTGCTTAATCCACAAGTTTCCTTGATAGCCAATCAAAAAATCCTTGCGCCCTTCCGTGCCACGCTTCGCATCTATCAAAGCAGTAGTGATGTAAGGCACCTAATAAAGAAACAGAATTGAAAAATTTATCAGAGAAGCATGATAGTGGCAGCAACACTGGATTGCAAACCTGTATCTTTGCAAAAATCAATTAAATCCTATAAACATGTACATCGTATTGAGACAACTACCTGGCATAATAAAACTGTACCTGTTGCTGTACCTGTAAATTTCAGTACACGATGATTAATAAGCTAACAACCATAACAAATACAGGCATAGTTAACTATCAAAGCTCCATTGATTCAGTTCACTTTTATATATGATTTTTTAATAAAGTTGGTAAAGTTTATTTTAACGAATAATACCACAGATTAATTAAAACATGAATGATTCTGATGGTCTTAGCTTTAGATTAAACTTTGGGTTGTAGATGAGCAGCTTGAGCAGACATTCAATCAGCACTGATGATCAAGGCCCCTAATCTAAGTAATCACACACAAAAGGTTAACGTGTACCAAAAAAAAATATAAATTTGCAGTGTGAATAAATAAGGTGGCATAACATTTGTGCCTCCTTTCCGTTCTCTTTCCCAAGACATCAAGGGAAAGCATATTCATCCATTCTGCTACCCTACCTACCAGATATGATATGAATGAATACATCTGACGAGGTTTCCTTAAAAATAATAATAGAGATAAAACAAACTTCTCTCTAGTGGATGCATATTTGTGGACAGGGAGTGAGTTTAGGTACTACAGTGCAAAAGTGAAGTGGATGCATATTTGTGCACCAAAGGCTGAAGAGGGCTTGGGATTCAGAAATTTGAGAGAATGGAATAAGGCCACTATGCTAAGACAACCTTTGTGGGCTTTAAGTAAGAAAGCTGATTCTTTGTGGGTTAAGTGGGTCCATACTTGTGTAATTAAGGGTAAGTGTCTTCCTACTAAGGCATCTTGGACTGTCAGGAAGTTTTTTGAACTAAGAGCTGTGGGGCAGCCTTTGATCAATATATCATTGGTGATGGGACTGTTACATTTCCGCGATTTGATAATTGGCATCCCTTGGATCCTTTGAATAAGAAATATGGGGAAAGGGTTGCTTTTCATATGGGCATGGCTGTGAATAGCAGAGTTTCCTCTTATCATTAATTTTGGGAATTGGAAGTGGCCTAGAGGTAGAAGAGTGGTTATTACTGAGATTAAAGCTAATACCCCTGCTAGCTTCTTATCGAATCCTAATAGGCCTGACTCAGTGTTTTGGCTACCCTCTAGTAATGGTGAATATACTGTGGCTTCAGCTTGGCAAGCAATTCAAATGGTATTCCCTATCGTCCCTTGACATAAATTGGCATGGTTTCCTCAAAAATGTTGCTAAGTGGAGCTTTGTGCAATTGGTTGCTGTTCTGAGATTGAAGGTAATACCCTGCTAGCTTTGTATTGAATCCTAATAGGCCTGACTCCGTGTTTTGGTTACCCTCTAGTAATGGTGAATAGCTTGGCAAGCAATTCAAACACTATACCCTATCGTCCCTTGACATAAATTGGCATGGTTGCCTCAAAATGTTCCTAAGTGGAGCTTTGTGAAATGGGTTGCTGTTCAGAGAGGACTGGCTACAATGGATAGAATGTTTAAGTGGGGGATTGTTTCTGAAAACAAGTGTGTATTGTGCAATGGGTTTGATCACGATCATTTATTTTTTTGTTAATATTTTTCAACATATACTTGGACTGTTCTTTTGAGGAGAATTCTTCCTGGTAGAAGAATGCCTGACTTTTGCTGAAGAGTGTGGAGGTAAGGCTATTACAAATTATGTTTACAGGTTGAAATTTTAATTCAAACTGAAATCAATTCAACCATAGTTCATGCTCAAATTTTAATTTATTTTTATCTAGGCTAATTTTATAGCCTTCAAAGACCACTGTTATAAAGCTTAGCGTGACTCCTTCGACCATATTGCATTGAGAAATTAAAATGAAGTTAATAACCAATTTATACGTTAGTATGACAGTAGAATTAAAGAATTCCAGCAACAAGATGAAAAAAAGTTAAACACAAATCAGCAGGCTAAAAAGCACCAGTGATATGAATGGAAGTTAAATATATGCAGGACATACTTGTCACGCGGTAAGGCATAACCAGCTGCTACTGAATCAATAAGCCAATTAACATTAAGTATGTAGGAATTTACTACGCAGCCATACAAGAACTTGGTCGTTTCTAGCTGGGAAAAGAGGAAAATATCAAATTCAAAATTAGGCATCCGCAACCCAAATAAAAACTAAGAATAATATAAGCAAACCAGATAAATAATATACCTCTGAAAATGCATTCGAGTAGCCACAGCAAGGTAACCAGGACCAGCTTGCTGCATACACAGCTGTTCAATGTCTTAGCAAATAGAACTGTATACATAGAAGTAGTTTTGGCTTACACAGAAGTAGTATAATCAGAAATGGAACTGCATACACAGCTGTTCAAGGTAACCAAGGAATTTTGGCTTACACAGAAGTAGTATAATCAGAAATGGAACTGTATACATAGCAAACAGGTATTTCATAAAATAAACATTAGAATATTTCCCTGGCCTAAAATATGAGGAATAAAAAAAGAATAAACAACTAAAGCTTAGATGCTTTTCATGAATGAAAAAAAATAAATAAATAACCCAAAAATAAAAATTCTATTACAATAAATTGAAAAAAAAAAAACATATCATTTAAACATTTACCTTTCATGCCTTTCTTTTGCAAGCATCAACGCCCTGAGTGACCTGAGTGATTTCACGGCTGACTCAATCATATCCATCTCATACTCTACTTTCTCATTTGTCCAGCACTGCAAACAGTAGAACAAAGGTTGAGGAGCAGCATTAATTGATGTTACTTCCCAGTATTAAGACAGCTTATTACCATTATAAATGATAAACAACCAAAACAAACAGCAATAGAACCCATCATCCAATTAGTTATTCCAGACACACCGACAAGGTGTCTTGTGCATAACTCCTTTCAGAAGCAAATGCTTGAGCATCACTGGCAAAGTAGGGCTTGACGGCTTCAATAAACACATCACACAACTGGAACTGCCACCATGAATATACTGCAGTAGCAGCATCAGAAAATTCATACGAGTCCAGTGATGTCACAGTTTTTGATATGGCCTTGTTCAACACGGAGAGAATCCACTGGCAGTTAAATGGCATGATATCTGGAACCACATTTGTTGGAGGGGTGTAATTATCTCCAAGTTTGAAAACACACAAAGCAAAATTGAAAAGTTCATGCCAGATCCAAATTCTTAAGAACAGTTTTAAAATCATAGAACTCTACACAGAGGTTACATTTAATGATGTACACAGTACATGGGTGTATCATATACACACAACATACATATGATGTTAACGGAGAGTACAATTCATGTCATGAACACTACCAGATATTCATGTTTCATGAAGACCCACACCCTAAATTCCCAGCACTATGCTACAGATTCTACCAGAGTACAAAATCCTGTGCATGCACACAGCACCTCAAGTCATGTTTTGTTAAGCAATAAAACTTGACTTAAACCCTTCACCACTTTCATCCACATTTCAGTTTAGCTATTAGTTTCAACTTGTCTTTGAAAAGAAAATAGCAATCAAGATATTATAGTCAGTAGTAAGTTCCACTAATGAGAATATATTAGATCCTTGAAAATATAGTTAGATTATGATCTTTATTTTTCGCTGCAACAGAGAAACGTAACAACTATTTGAGAAATAATTGGTGAATTTCAAGATAAATGAGTAAAAGTAATTTATGGTCAACTTTACATAAATAATGTCAAAAGGCCAAAATAGCCATCAATTCCAATAGAAAGGAACCCAATTCAGAACTCACTTTGTCCTTGTCCACTTTTGATAAGTTCAGCTCCTCTTGAAAGGATTTATTCAACTTCAATCATTACGGACAAAGAACAAAAATGAAACACACTAACTAATCGACTTCAAGAGAGGAAACATGAAAAAAAGAAAAAAACACAAGTTGCATCATAAAAACAGCGAAGTGATAACTTCTCAGGGAATGTGCTAATCCCAAAATTAAATTTTAATAAAAAATATTTAATCCATACAAAGGTTCCTAAAACTAAGAAATTTTAGCAAGCTAGCCAAAAATCAATTTGGAAATTGTAACATCAGAATCCAATCTAAGACACAAAATAGGTGATACATATTCATTAACTATATCTCACTCAAACTATGATATATAATTGTCAGAACAAAACAGAGAGGACAACCTTACCAGTAGATAGGTTCAAATTGCAGGTTACCAGTAGATATAGTGGTCGGCAAAAGTGGTCGGCAAATGTGTAAATTCTAGTAGTGCAGGTTACCAGTAGATAGGTTGAAATTGCATTTTTATATATAGGCACCAAAACAATATCAGCGAGAGAGAGGACAACCTTTTTCATATTATTGAAAAGATACTTAGATCCATGCATCAAAAACATAAAAATAAAAATAAAATAACAGAAATTTTGTTTAAACTCCATTGTATGAAAGTAAATCACATAATGTTCATGCCTTATGCTATTGAATTGCTACTTTCTACTAAAGACAATAAGAATGGTATTTTCCTTCCTAAGTTAAAACCTTCAAGGATACTTAGCACATTATAATTAATCGTATAGAACTGTACAATTTCTGTCTGCACCAAGTACAAATGACAGCAAAAGACCAAAGAGCAATCATTATAGGTGTCATACCATCACATTGAGGAGAAGGAAATTTTTTTAAAAGAAAAAAGGGCACAAGGAAATAAATGAGATAACACTAATGAAACCCAAAAGATATAATTCATCAAGCCATCCAAGACAAGCAAGTACGAACATAAACTGCAAGCACATAGCAGGACAGAAGCATATGATAACACTGCTTGTGGGAAATTTAAGAAGACTTGATATAGGAAGAGAAGCAATCCATATGCAAAAAGGACCCATCTAGGAGGAATTGAATCCAGGCGAGGTGAATATATCTGCAACACTTACATGTGAAAATATATCTTAAAGTAACAACTAAATAATTACCATAAAATAAATAAATAAAAAGAAACAAGATCCATTCATTTTACTATAACAATGCAGAACACTAATATTACACACCCAAAATTTATATCTAGAATTTTACCCAAAAACATTAAAATCCAGATTCATTCCATGCATGAACCCTACAATACACCAACTAAATCTCAAACACAATTTTCCTTTCTGGGGAGATTTCTTGACAAAAAATTTGGGTGAGTAGATTTCTCAAATGTAAAATAAGGAGAAAACCAAACTTACACAGAATTGGAAAGCACCTACGTTGTCCAAGAAGTAAAAACTCAAAATCTGAAACAACCCTAATTTGCAATAGCCCACAAAAAAAAATCAAAAGGGGAACACCCTTCAGATGGCAGATATTGACCAAAAATTTAAAACCTTGCTGAAGAAATAATAGCATTCATCTTTTCAGAACAATAAATAAGAGAAAAAAGAACAAACGAAAGCAAGAAACAATACCCAAATCTATAAGAAACATGCACACAACAGTGCCAATGAAAATCATGTCAACATTATTACCACATCATAATTAAGACGAATGGTAAGCCTAGCATATGTTCTTCTTTGGGATATGTTTAACTTCAAACCTAACTTCTCTCAAAGTTAAATGCATATAAAGAAAGGGGGGGAAGGGCCTTTCCAGAAACATAATTATGGTTAGCGCAGAGACTATAACAGAACAACAAAAATATTTCATCACATTATTTGAACCTCCATAAAGTAACAAAAAGTTGGAGTTTTTCAGTAAATAGAACCAAATAACCACCAAACATGAACTTTGTCAAATAAAACTACACGACAGACAATTCATGTTACAATTAGCTGAAAAACACCCAAAAGCTATAAGATCAAATAAATCTTCAAGACTTACTCTTTCAGATTATAAACCATTTGAATCTAGATGAAAGAAAAAAAGCACACCCAGAGGCATGAGTAAACCAAAGATTGAATGCATAATTATATCTCCAAGAGGCATGAAGTAAATTATTGACTGTCCATCATGCTTTGACAACAAAAATTGTGGCCAAACTTTCATGGTCTGCAGAACTACTCTTATTTTAGACAATTGAACACTATTTGAGAAGGGGGGGAACATTGAACATTATTATAATTTTTGTATTAAAAAAAAAGGGTAAATTCAGACTGTAATTTAATTGGTAGAGAGCACTTACATGTCAATGAGGAGATATCTCAGATTTGAATCAATAGAATAGTTTCGACGTACTATGATAATCTAATTCTATTAACTACCATCTATCTTATTATCTAAGATATAAAATAAAAATAACCCCAAAGAATTTTTTTTTTTTTTTTTAAATGAAAGGCCACATAATAAAATGGTAGAAAACCAAGCACCAAAGGATAGGAAACATTTTTCCATTTGAAGGAGGAGAAGAAGGAAGAGGTATAGAGACTAAAGTCTTGTTCTTTCCCAATCAGGGAGAGTAACAATGTTTACTCATCATCTGTCACTCACTCACTCACTCACTAGTCATTACTATCATCAACTATCCTACAATTTCTCTCTCTATTTGTTTGTTTGTTTTTTTTTCTTTTGATTTTGTAAAGTAATTTGTTTTTTGAATGTAATGTGACAGTGCTGTAAGTTACAGTAGTGTGTATAAGAACAGTGTCTCCAAGTGTGTGTGCTATTTTGACAACTGAGAAGAAGTAACTTAGAAGTCTCTCATAGGCAAACTATCAAACATGTTGTGGCCATGGCAGTATAAGCCAACATATCAGCACTTTTCTTCACCCCCATTGCCATTCTGCTTCTCATATCTAACTAATGTACTTGAAAAAAAAATAAAAAAAAGTCAGTGAACCCTAGAAAACTTCTAGTTGTGTGCCTATATATATTCCCCAAAATCAAAATAAAGAAAACTTATTGGGTCATTCTATCAAACACTAGTATCTAGTTCAAACACTTATAACATTCAATAATGACTATAACACTTTAGAACGCCGAAACTAGTTCAAACATAAACATCCCACAAAAATAATTTGTGGAAACATTCAACATAACATAGAACATAAAATAAAGCGACGAGTACAATACGTAACCATTATATAGATAAATATATTAGACAAACCTTTCACAAACTCATTGTTGAAAGAGTTATCTTAACACAGACAACACATAATTATGGATAACCTAATATAATTTAGTAGACAGATAGGCGCCTAATCCTCGCTCAAATCGGCAATCTCAGAGTCCAAACAATCAGAGAGCTCAGGGTCAGAGAGAAGTGTAGGATCGCCCTTGATAGCCTTGATAGCCGCAGCATTTGGTATTGTTCCGTTCTTCTTGGCATC